TAACATAATATATAATTAATTTTTTTCTCTTTTTTACCTTCAACACCTGCTCCGCCCAATCTAGAAGTTTTTCTCCCCTCGGTACGCTGACTCTCTCATGCTTAAGCCTGCCGACACGAAATTCGTGACTATCGTCACGTCTTGGACTTAAACCAGGTGCTCTTTGTCTTTCAAGGATTGCATCTCGCTGCGTTTGTAACCATACGATAGATCGCGAAGCACCAAAAGCAGTACAACTGAAATAGAGTCGTCTTGTTTCGAAAGGTAACAAGAATGGACAGCTTCGCGCGAGCTCTTCACACCAATTGGGCAATGCACCAGCGGCCAGAGCTAATGGATCCTGAATCTGTTGTACGATTTTGTTCGTAATTTTTTTCGATGTAAAATCATCTGGGTGAAGCCAGTAGGTTGTATCGTTCGCTTCATCCTGCTCCGAGACGCCTTCGTCTCGAATAGTGCCCAAAACGAATACATGTCTCAAGAGTTGCAGAACATCCTCCACGGTGCACGCATTTGCATTTTGCGCGGGATTGCGAGAATATAGTGTTACGATCGGCGTCGCTCTGCCAGACGATTCTTCGTCCCTGGCTTCCTTATATATTATTCTAAATAGAAAAAACAAAATGAGACAGGATCAGACAATCTCTTTTTTTGTCTCTCTAATATGATGTTTTTAAGATATAAAATTAACAAAGTTAATAAAATTTAAATCATTACGTATAGGTTGGTTCCCAAATTCTTTTTAATTTCTCTTGACGGCTGCCCAATTCAGTTAATTGCATTAGTTCCTGGACTGCTTGAAAGATACTAGCGTGCGGGTCCGAAAGCGATATCTCGACATCCGGTACGCCTGGAAATCCTGGTCCTTTCAATGACAAGGAAAGTCTAGGCATAGGCAATGATCCTATACGACTATTAATTTGTGTTTCGCTGCCAGGAGGGGGAACTTCCAAATCCGTTGTCTATCGTGTGAAAACATTTCACAATATTAAAATGTCGACAAGCTAAGCATGCCTAATCTAATCTTTATATCGTACGTTACTTACTTGATTAATGTTCGTTCGACCAGGACGTGGATCAAAAGCAGGAATAAGAGCAGAAAATTGACGCTTCAATACAAATTCATCATCCCATGCACGCCTCTTGCTACTCTGTGGTGCTTCTTCTTCCATAAATGCTGCCAAAAGGTTACGACTTACCATAACTTCTTCGTATTCGCCTTCGCAACCGTCACCTTCCTCTTCATTCTCTTCATCCTCTTCCTAAGATTACGTAATGATGCGTTTAAGATTAGTTGTATTCTGATATTGTATGTTGACGATAATTATTTACATTAATGAATATGATTTCGATATTAATCTCGACGGACGCACGCACGCACGCACGCACGCACGCACGCACGCACGCACGCACATCGAGTATTATTTGATGTGATTAACAGATATAACGTTTCTAAAATAAATTGCTCGATTTTATAGATGTATCTTTCGATCAACCTATTTAAATTTTTCTGTAGCAAAAATATTAAAGCGTTAACAATTTAAAAATTCTACGTGTAACAGATTATGCTCGGTCAAATTTTTGGTCAAATTTTGGAGGAGTACAATCGAATCGAAGAATACATTTGTGACGCTTGCAGACTTTGTTGGACTCATCTTGTATAACCAAATACTTTCGCGAAATTACCTCTTGATCATTTTCTTCGTTATCTTCCTCCTCTTCTAGAACACCGTCCTCATCATCTTCCAATTCAGTCAAAAGCGTAGGCCCGCCAGTGGTACGACCTCCACCAGTACTCGAAGTCGCTACACCTCCGCAGGATTCCAAGAAATCTTCAAGGCTGACCTAGAACGAA